GTTGGGAGTAGTAGTGTTGCAAACACAGGCTTGAACCCTCACGATACTGCTGTTGAANGTGGTGAGAGATTGGATTCGATTGAGACACAGTTGTCCCAGCTCACGAGCGTCATTAAGTCGCTTGTTGGGCAACGAGGCGATCAGGTGGAGTCCTCTGTTTCATTTGCTGCTGCGCCGGGAAGCGGCGCAACAGAGTACGCCGGTGTGCATCAATCGGATGTCACTGGCAGGACTGCGGGAGGTACGGACAGTAGTGCCCAAGGCCTTGGCATGTCCAGCGTGAGAGTTGGGAGTAGTAGTGTTGCAAACACAGGCTTGAACCCTCACGATACTGCTGTTGAACGTTCCTCTGCTGGTGTCACAAGCTTTGGTTCGGTTGGGATGGGAAGTAGGGCTTTTGGTAGTCAGTCTTTCATTCCAGGAATAGGTAGTGGGGCTTTCAGTAGCCAGTCTTCTATTCCACCCGCACCTACTGCTTCGAGTAGGTGGTGGGAAAATGTCGCCAGTGGAACCACATTGATTCCTGGGGCCGGCATCACAGAACCAGGAGAAAACTTGGGAATGAGCCCTTTGAAAGTTCCCAAAACTCCTGTGTTCGACGGATCGGACGTTGCATACCCGTCATGGTCACAAACTTTCTGCTGAGTGCCCGACACAACAACTTGTTTGAACCATCTACTTCTGAAGTGGAAATTCCGATCGCAAGCATTGAATTCGACTTGACCCCTTGGGTAGACAAAGGATACAGTGTAGGAGTGCTACGCCAGGCAGAGGTGGGATGGTGGTTTTTGTTCGACTGTTTGGAGGAGGACTCGCTGAAAACCATGGCTAGGCATGCAGGTTCCCCCAGCAAGGCATTCCAGGTATTGAAGGATCACTTTCTCCCATTGAGCAAGAGTCAGATTCGTGTGCAGGAGGACAAACTGAAATCATTGCGCATGCGTACAAACGAGAACCCATCCACCCTCTTTACATCCATGAGAGAGACGCCTGGTGTTTTGCAGATGCTGGAAGCAAAGAATGGGAGTGGTCTGACTCGGAGTTGACTTGGTCATCTGAATTGCTGTTGCTGCAACAACAAGCCGAATCCCGCAGATTGAAAACCGGAAATCCCGTAGACTGCCAAAACTGGCCCCGGAAGCATTCGCTGCTGAATTTAGCAAATACCTTCAGTTGAAGAATAGTCGTGTCGAAGATTGGTATGCAGACACCGGAACTGCTTTTCACATGACTGACCGTCTTTCTTGCATGAAGGATTTGCAGCCTTGCCACAAAAGCGTAAACGGGATTGGTGGCGTGACTTGTGAGGTAGAATTCGCCGGAACCCTAGAATTGGTGTTTGTGAATGCTGACAGCGAGTTTTCCGCAGAGTTGGAGAATGTACTGTACTCTCCCAACTTGGGATACAACCTCTTTTCTCCTAGCGCAGAGTTCGATGGTGAGTCATGGAATTACCTTGAGGGTCCTGATGGTGTGATGACTGCTTTCGATGGACATGTTACTTTTGAGAATTTCGATGGCATGCTTATTTCGATTGCGTATCGCCTAGAGAATAACTCTGTTGGTTCGGTGTTAGCTGCCCTCACTCCTTCAAACCCCAAGATGAATCTTAGATGGATGTGAACGAGTTTCATAACACTTATGCTCATTCACATGAGAGATTACTTCGTACCACAGCAAAACGACTAGGTATGGAGGTAAAATGCATGCTTGTACGGGATGTTCGATGTCGAAGGCATTCAAGAAAGGGATTGCTCATGAAACAATATGCAGATCGGACAAAAAGTTGGGGAGAGTGTTTGTTGACCTGGGAGGGCGGGCGGAAGGACGTTGCGTCCGTAGGGGGTAAACAATACCCCATGATAGTGAAGGATGATTTTACAAGACGTACATGGATGTATTTCCTGAAAAGTAAATCAGACGGTGCGAGTGCTTTCCGGAGTTTCCTCGCAAGTGTGCGTGCTGATGGTATCCCATCATTGGTTGAGATTGTTAGATCTTCCAATGGGGAGGAGTTTTTCGGAGGAGAATTTGCGTCCGTGTGCAACGAGCTCTTGAAAAAGCAAGATTTCACCCCGGCTTACAGTCCCCAATACAACGGTATTGCAGAGCGTGGTTTGGGATTGATTGAGGCGGCGGCAATCGCTGCCCGTATTCAGGAAAAGTTTTGTTTGGGCATGTGCAATTACCTAAGACTGATAGACTATGGGCTGAGGCGATGCACTGGGCTTGCGAAGCAATTAACCACAGCTTGTTCCGCTAACCCCGATAGGAAGTCGCCGTATGAGATGTGGCATGGTGAAGCTAGTCCTGCTAGACCGTATCCGTTTTTGAAACCGGCTTGCTGTAGGTGGCAGCCACCGTCTAAGCTGCTGCCGAAGGGTGAGGCTTGCTTTAATGTCGGTCCTTCGAGAGACCACCCGCGTGACTGTCATAAGAGTACTTACGAGGGTTGGAACTATTCGGGAAACGAGGAATGTGACGTGGGAAGCGTTGCCGTCGCAACTCCCTCCACCGCAACCGTCTCTCTTGCCGATTGAGGTCGCAGAGGAGGGAGGGGAGGAACGTGACGACGACGCAAAAGCTGAGGTATGGCCGCTTCTAGGGAGAGGAGTTCCCCACATTATTTTGCGACGTAATGTAACGGCCTCTGGTGGAGCAATCGATGAGGTTGGCTGTGTTGATGCAGGCAGTTTAGGTCAACCCCCCTCTGTGCCATCTTCGCCCGCGATTAATTCCCCCACCGATGAGGAAGGACAAGGAGGGCCGGAGACAGGGGAGGCAGAATCGGGGGTCCGGGAGGGCAGGAGGTAGAGTCGGAGAGTCAGGAAGGGTTGGATGAAGAGTTGGTTGAGCCGGGAGGGCAGGAGGTAGAATCGGAGTCATTTCCCCCTGCTACGCACGTACCATCTAATCGTCGTGCGCGGCATGAGCTTGCTAGTTACAACACTGCTGCGAATGAGAATGTTAAAGTCAGAAAAGGCAGAACCCGTGCGCAAACTCGGGCAGTAAATCAGCAGAGCGTAACCGGCCTCACGGCCACTCTAGGACCCATCTCCGCATCAGAAATATTAGAGGCACTCTTAGTGGAACAGAGAGCATCTGATGCAATGGAATTGCCGAAAGTGCTCATTCAGGACGTAGAGTCAGAACCGGGTAGCTATGAAGAAGCCCGTCAGTCAAAATACTCCTCGATTTCGGACAAGGCCATGTCTGCAGAATTTGAAGGCTCGTTAAGAGCAGGAACTTTCGAGTTAGCAGTAAAGGTTCCAATAGCCTGTAACGTGATAGATGGTAGATGGGTCTACAAATGGAAAGCATATGAAACAGGCAAGATAGTGAAGGCCAAGGCTAGGCTTGTAGCGAAGGGCTTCAAGCAGAAGCATGGTGTGGATTATCTTGAGACATTCTCGCCTACTGCAAATGCTGCATCGATTCGTTTGGTAGCATTGACGTGCACGTATGATTTGGAATTTCTCCACTTTGACACTGAGCAAGCGTTTGTTCAGTCGGAATTGGATCACGAGGTGTTCATGAAGTCGCCTCCTGGTTGCGAGTCGATGACAGGAAAGGTAGTCCGTTTAGACAAAAGTTTGTATGGACTGAGACAGGCATCTAGAACATGTCACAAGAGACTTGTGTCGGACCCGAAGAGGATTGNGTTGGTAGCATTGGCGTGCAAGTATGATTTGGAATTTCTCCACTTTGACATTGAGCAAGCGTTTGTTCAGTCGGAATTGGATCACGAGGTGTTCATGAAGTTGCCCCCTGGCTGTGAATCGATGACAGGAAAGGTAGTCCGTTTAGACAAAAGTTTGTATGGACTGAGACAGGCATCTAGAACATGTCACAAGAGACTTGTGTCGGACCCGAAGAGGATTGGTTTCGAACACTCTTTGTCAGACCCCTGTGTTCTTCGTTTCATGATGGGAGACGAGGTGTTGGGTATGATTGCAATTCATGTGGAAGACATTCTGTATGCAGGAATTGAGAGGCTTGCCAAGATGGTCGTGGAAGCGCTACGTGACTCTCTCCCCACGAAGAATTTGGGCGAGGTCGAGTTCTTTCTTGGTTGCGCATTCGTTTGCGACCGCGAGGCTGGTACGATTGAGATGTCTCAAGGGAGTTACATCAGGAGTGTTCTTGAGAGATTCAATGTTTGTCGCACCAGCTCGATCCCTGCTTCCCCTGCTAACGATTACAAGTCCGTGATGGAGGATGAGGGGGCAGGAGATGTGCCGTTCCGAGAGGTGGTGGGGAGCCTGATGTGGATCGCCAACCAGACAAGGCCCGCAATCTCAAACGCTGTGCGGGCGGTGGCAAGGCACTCTCACGAGCCAAAGAGAAGCCACTGGAAGGCGGCCCAGATGATTCTAAATTATCTTCTGGAGACGGCACATCTAACTTTGAAGTACAAGCAGGACACTATGGTAGACGTAGGCACGTTGGTGTACGTAGACGCAGACTTTGCCAGTAAGGCCACTGACCGTAGATCAGTTTCGGGAGCACTAGTTCTTGTAGCTGACTGTCTTGTTGCTTGGATTTCTAGGACGCAAAAACGTGTCACACTTTCAACAACTGAAGCAGAGTATGTTGCGATGAGTGACCTGTCCTCTCGTACCTGAATCTTACCGATTCTATCACTAGGCCTCAACAACTCGAGCATTCCGTTGACAAACAGAGCATCTTTTACACCATCACGCATCGCAACATACTCTGCTTCAGTTGTTGAAAGTGTGACACATTTCTGCGTCCTAGAAGTCCAAGCAACAAGAATCCTCTCAGTTCGTGTAACAGTAAGCACATTGACGTGAGGCACCACTTTCTCAGGAATTTGACGGAGGAGGGAGTGTTTGAAATCAGGCATATCTCCAGCGAAGGACAGCATGCGGACGTTCTGACGAAGACTCTGCCAAGAGATCTTTTTGAAGTTCATCGTAATTTTGCTCTAGGCTCGAGATCTGAGAAGAGAGGTTTGAGTTGTGTTTTATTTTGGTTGTTTTTCTGATATATACTTCATCTGGTCGAGACAACAGCCCCAAGAGAGGGTGTTCGTGATAGTTGCTGCTGTGTGTGTCGACAGAGTGACGTAGAACAACTTGATTGGACAGTTTGAATTGCGGGACTGTCTGCGTTGAAGATCGTTGAGTAGCCACATGTTATCAGAACAGCAAGGAACGTTCTGTGGGAATGTTCTTCGTGGATGGTGCATTACCCCGAGTGTGTTTCTTGTGGATAGTGCATCAGTCAGAGGATTCATGGTACGTTGTGAAGTACGTTAGCCCCTGTTGAGTCTTTTGTGTTCCAATATTATTGTGTTCGGCTTTTGTGCGTTGGTCGAGCGACACGGGTGGTGGCTGCGGTGCTGCGGTGCTGTGGTGCTAGCCCCACCCTTGCCCACTCCACCTTTTGACCTGTTCTCCTGGTCCAATGTCTCATCAATACAACATGTTTCCCCCAGAAGCCACGATTTCACCAACACGCTGTCCCCAACATTGTTCCAGGTGTTCATCAACGATCTGTTGGAAGTCGTAGAGGCCGTCCGGAAGGGAGTAAAAGTAGGGGACACGGAAACGTCGTTTTCAGGAATGCTGTTTGCGGATGATTTTGTCGGTATGTCGGACACCCCTGAGGGACTGCAACTGCAAATTGACGAGGCGAAAAAGTTTACTGATAAGTGGAGGTTGTCTGCAAACGTTTAGAAGAGTGCCGTCATGGTATCCAACGAGAACAAGGAGGAACCAGCTGAACATAGATGGAAATGGGGGATCGAGGAGATTGCAATAGTGGACCAGTACACATACCTCGGAGTAGAGATCGCAAAAGACCGCTCGGGGAATGCACACATGTTCAAGGTAGCCGAAAAGGGCAAAGCACGAGCAGGGAAGCTGCACCCAATACTCAAAAACTNTAGTGGACCAGTACACATACCTCGGAGTAGAGATCGCAAAAGACCGCTCGGGGAATGCACACATGTTCAAGGTAGCCGAAAAGGGCAAAGCACGAGCAGGGAAGCTGCACCCAATACTC